TTTTTTGTTTTATCCACAACTCACAATGTCAAACGATAATTGGGACCGACCATAGGCTAAGGGAGCTATATGTCATGATGTCAAACTCAAAGTATTTGATGTTTCTTGCTTTTAATGTTGAATTATCTTATTTACATTTGATTCACTTGTTCTCTAACTTTTATCAGGAATATATATACAAAAAAAAAAATAGTATATCGTGCAATATAAAGATCCCATGGATGCATATTCATAAGTGAAACCCATGTATTTCACTTAATATAATAAACGAAAAACTTAACGAAGTTGTCATGTATCAGTGTCGATACCATGTACTCGGATATTTTCCCATTTTCATATTCCCCCTTTAGAAACCTTAAAACCATCATAAGAAGAAATGATGGAACATGTTTGATTCTATTTTATGAACCTGCAAGAACATTACATAATGATCTTAGTTTTTTTTTTAAGAAATAGCAATGCGCTTTCATTAATATGTGTTATGACAACCTATATTCACCACCTCTTTTACAACATTTTACTCTAATTTTTAGTCATTACACTCTTAGCAATATATTGACTTTTAGCATTCTATCTTTCTTTCTTTCTTTCTTTTACAACATGGTATTTTTTTCGTTGTTAAGGCACCATACGGTTAAAATTATATCCAAATGAATTTCTACTAATACACCAGTCTTATAATTTCCATCTTAAACCTACCTTGTTAGTATTTTAAAAAATTGGTCCGAATTCTAGTTAACTAAGTTAAATCAAGCTCATTCCATGATTTCTAAAATTAGTAATATTAACTAATGTACAAAATTTTCATTTGACCTTAAATAACATTCTATTTAACATTCCAAGCCCTTCAACATCTATTTTGAGGATAGATTTTAAAATTATTACAAATTAAGTCAATTTCCTAGTTAAATAAATTTAGTTAAGTATCATTCCTTAACTTCTAATATTAGAAAGTCAACTATCAATCTTAAAGCTTTTGACTTCAATCTTCATTTAACAAGTAATTCTTTATAGTTAACCAAAAATTAAATTTTAAATTCATAGTTTTTATTTAATTTGATTTAAATATTAGTTTATTTACAAAGACATACACTTACGGTTAGAATTTCTAGCTCCAAATTGTTGGTGTTATAGTTTCCAAGCCTATATTTAGGTTTCATTTAATCTTTGTAAACCTAAATGGGGCTTTCAATTTCAATGAGGGTTTCTAGAACTCAATAACCTACAATTTTATATCTTCATTGAAATTCTAAATCCAGTTATGGTTTCATCTCCATTTATCCATCCTTTCTTGAACTCAAGAATCGACACCAGTAACCGTTGGTGTTTTCATCAAGCTTCTAATATGTTCTTGTGTTGTTTTCCATAGTCTAATCTTGTATGGATATGTGTTCCATGGTTTTTCTGGTGATAGAGAACATAACAAAGGGAGATTGGTAGTGATACATAATAAGGGTGTACATAAAATAATTCATTTGATTTAAGTCGATCGGCGTATAGTGGATATCCAACTGTAATTAGATTAGATTAGTTCCAAATTTTTTATATGTAAATTAGATTGGTTGGTTGTTGGATGAAAATCCAGATCCAATCCCAAACCAAAACGATTCAGTTCAATTGGATATCTTATTAGATGTATCCAATTATCATCCAATTAGTATCAAATATCAATTATAATTTTTAAATATTTATAAAAAAATACTTAAATTATAACAAACTGATGATAACATTTTGTTTACTTTTGAACCTTGAAATGTATGTCTTTTTAATATAACGAATTGCTATTGATTTATGTTAGAAACTTGTAACTTTGAACTTTAACTTTGAAGTGTATGTTTCTTAAACAAGTATCATATTTTGGTTAAACTTTCAAATTTGAATATTTGAAGTATATTTTGAAATCTATGTTTTTAAAATACTTGGTGAATGTTAATTTGGTTAGTTGTAATGAATGTAAAATTTGATGAATATTAGGTGTTCATTGGATAAATTTGGTTAGTTGTAATGGATGTAAAGTTAGATGAATATTGAGTGTAAACTTGATAGATTTGATTGGATATATTAAATATCCAATGGAGAAAACTCATCTAATCCAATTTTCAGTTGGACCGGTTAAGTTCGGTTGTTAATTGTTAATTGGATGGATCGATTGGCAATATTATCGAATGAATGATTGGATTGGATCGTTTGTATAAAAGAATCTTGGATATCCAACAATGAATTCCATAATTTCAAGAGCTTTAGGAGCATTGCACATATAAATTGATTCATAATTTCAAGAACCTTTGGGAGCTTTTGTGTAGGCACTAACTTGTAATATTCAATCGAAATGATATGTTTTGAACAAAATTATTGAATTTAATGGTTAAGTGTGTAAAAAAAATAATGAGATATTTTATACGGGACATAGTTCATTACCTTAACAAACTATTAAACCTAGAAAATACCCACTTCAAACGTCGTTGATTCACTAGACAAAAACGACACATAATTCCTAAAAGATGGTTTGGTTGATGAGTTCAACGACTTACTTTAAAGTTTGAAGGAAAAATAACTTATGAGGGTAATGAATTTTTGATTTTGTTCATATTTAGTCACTTTTTTACACCATTTAGAAGTGAACTTATTTTTTGTGTTTAAAAAAAATATCATTATGATTGATTATTGCAAGTCATAATGGTATTTTTTGAACACCAAAAATAAGTTCACTAGTAAATTATATACACAAAAAAGAAAATGACTACAAAAGTAAAATTCTGTTACATCATAGTTCATTATTTCTTCTTAATCTTTTATTTTAATTTTGTTAATAAATATTTTAATTTGTAATTCATATTTATAAAATTTTATTTTGTAATTTTTTTTTAAAATCTCTTTCTCATCTTGATAAAAAAAAATTAAACATTAAAATGCGACTTACCAACCATCGTAATTATAATAAATAGAAATTATTGTGATGATCATTCAGACATTATATTCAAGCTTTTTCTAGTGTCCTATCATTTGGAAGTTCAGTTTTTTTCAAGCTTTCGCAAACGAAAATGTCAAGTGGATAGGAACATCAAACACTTAGCACAAATATTTAAGTGATACATAAAAGTTTAAGAACATTATCTTTTTCACTTAGAGCATCAAACACCAACCCTTTGTTAAAATCTCAAAACTTTAAGAATAATATTTTTTCTCTTTCATAACTTTGTGTCTCACTCAAATATTGGTGCAAGTATTTGATGTTAATATCCACTTGACATTCTTGCTTGTGAAAAAAAAAGATTGAAGTTTATAATATAACTAAAACTCTAATTGCTTAATTGCTTTTATCGGTATAAGAAGGAGATTAAAATAGACTTATGGGATATATTTTTATAAATATTAATAAAAATATTTGTATTTATAAAGTAATTTTCCTAAGTTTGAATTCCAAACTTCTACTTGCAAAGAACACCCATGTTTACATTTTTTTTGCAGCACAACTACGCTCTTCTTGTAGAGAAGGCCCCTCAACTTCATTATTACAAATAACGCTCTTGTAAAAGTTGTAAAAGATATCTTATTCAAATTTAAAATTTTAGAAACAAAACGTTAATATGATTTATTTACAAAATAACATTAATTACGATGGAAACCAGACATTTAGAATGTCACAGATCGGCAACAATCAAAAACTCAATAGACTAATAGTTACCAATAACAATAACAACAAATTATCAACAAATCGTGCTATAACAACAAAACAGATTTATGTTGACCCAAGTCCAAAACAAATGAACAAAAAAAAAGAAAAAAAAAAGATTTACAGATTACAAGAACAGTTGTCAGCTGACGGATTAAATGTCTAGTACTGTAGCGAATTGAAACCTCACTTGATGCGACAACTTATAGTATATATGTTTGTTACATAAACCAAAAAAGATTTAGGAGGATCAATGAGAATTTAGGATGATGCGGTGAATGCTTTGTTAAATGTAAGGTAAAAGGTGTGGTCAATGAGAATTTAGGATGATGCGGTGAATAATTTGTTATGCAAGGTAAAAGCAATGTTTTAAAAACCGTTTTAACTGGTCGGTCGAACCGGTTGGACCGGAAACCGGAGAAGGGAGCGGTTCAACTAGCATCGGTTTTATATCTAATTCTGAATCGAAATGAACCGGTCGACTTTTATAAAAATCTGGTTGAACTGGTTAAATTAAATAAAAACACATGGAAATGAAATCATTTTTATAACAAACTTTGTTTGTTTTTTTCCACTTTTATATAGATATATATATTTTTTAATAAAACACATGGTAAATGTTATAAAGTTTTTTAATATGTTTGTATTCGTCTAAAACTATATTTTGTTTCTGTATTATACTTTATTTTATTTTTGATGTACATAGATTGATGTAAAACTTACAGTTATGTGTTTTTTAATATATTTCGATTGACCTTCAGCATGTATCTATATGTGTTTTTAATGTATTTGGATTGACCTTCAACATGTATCTGTATGTATTTTTAATGTTGTGGATGTATATGTGTGTGTAGGAATATAGGAAAAAAGATAAAAATTATAGAAACCGTTTGAACCGACGGTCGAACCGGTTAAACCGGAAACCAATCACCATACTGGTTCAATTAAAAAACCGGTTTTTAAAACATTGGGTAAAAGGTGTGGTGTAATTTTTGTCAGTAGTAAAAAGATGTCATCTAGGTGTTACATCAATTTTTACAGTTTTTAAAATTTTTACCTACAAACTAGGATATGGTAAATGGTTTACCTATGAGGTTTTTTTTTTTTAAATTTCAATAAAAAATAAGAACTTTTTTAAAACCCGTATTAAAATTAAAATTTACGTTTTAGAAATACCTAAAAATTAAAAATAACATGAAATTAAAAATTACATTAAAAACCTAAAAATAAAAAAATAATAAAAGTGAAAATTTAAAAAAAAAACAAAACATCGAAATTTCATTTGCGGTTTAACTTATATTTTTCGCGAATCGACTACTTCACCGCTTTAGCCGCCTCTTGATCTTTGGGGGTCGATGTGTCTCACATCTTGCATTAACAACGAATATTCTGTGAGTCGGATGGTTTCAGCCATATGCCTCTCCAAAGTTGAATTCAATTGTATCATTTGTGTCATCATTTTCTCCGATCTAGCTGACCGCTCAGTTCCGACTGACGAATTTGAAGATGTCGCTTTCCCTTTTCCTTTTCCTCTTGCTTGAGCTTTTGTTTTGTCTCTTCCCATTGGAGGAGGAGGCAAGTGTATTTCTTCGATGTCGTCGTTATCATCATTAAGATTAACGCTTACGTGACCATCCGATGACACTTGTTGTGAGCTCGAATATGAAGATGTTCGGCTTCTTTTTGACGGATTAACAATTTATTTATGTGTTGCAAGTTCTCTCCACTTAATGCTTCTTTTGACAACGTCCCACCCATGAATAAACTTAAAAAGCTTTAACATATCATCTTGGAATGTAGCTTGCGTTTTTTTCAACAAACTCGGTTCACTTTCTCCTCTAGCCCATTGCTTTTCAAAGTTTGTATAAATTTCATTCCAATGTGTCACGAGTTTGTTCACAAGATTCCATTTCAAGTTACATTGGTCGGAGGTCTGATAATATGGATCTCGACCCATTCCCTGACAAAAACGCTCTGTGATACATAACCAAAATTGATCACGATTTTGACCATTTCCCGTGCCACCATTTTCGGATATATTGACCCATGCCTTTGCTAACTTAATTTCTTCTTTTTGTGCTCATCTTCTCGGATCGGTCTTCCCTTTTTTGTTGAGGTTGTTGTTCTTCGTGTTCGGAATCGGAAAGAATTTCAGTTAAAGGTGTGAAAGGCGGTTGGGATTGAAATTGGAATTGGGTTTAGGATGCTTGGGGTTTGCGGTTGGGATTGGAATTGGATTTGTTGTGACATTTGGAATTGTGAATAATAGCTAGGAACACCATCCGTTTTGTGGTCGGTAAGGTGGTGGTGATAACGGATCGTAGCCGAAAAGTGCGAATTGGTTGGAACATTTTGGTTTGGAGCATTTTGCTTGGAAGAGTTTGGATTGTTGGAAGACATTTTGAATGAGATGTGTGTAAAGTGGTAAGGTTTTGGAATAATATGGTATGTATAGATATAAAGTAAATTTGCTTTAAAAAAAGTAGAGAGAGAGAGAGAGAGAGAGAGAGAGAGAGAGAGTAGCCGTTGCTAACCGTTGGCAACATTCCATTCCAAACCAACTTTCAATTTTCAAATATTTGTCACCGGTAGAAACTCATCGCCGATATTATATCGACGGTAATTTTTTTGGTGAGGCGTGGTGTTTACCGACGGTAAATCATCCGTGTTAGCATACGTGCAGTGGCAATATTACGACACCGCTTAGCCTAATAGAAATTATTTGATGTGAATAGTTTTTCGTTTAATCAATAATACGAAGAATATATAGAGCACAAGATCGGTCGTTCTGTAATCTATATACTTCAAAATCCTAATTCTATAAATCTAGTGACATAATCTTATTTTTAACGATTTGAAAACAAATAATGTTAATAAGTATGATATATCGCTATCAAACACAACATTCGTTTTTAGTACAATTTTACCTCTACGATATTTTTATATTTGAAAAGAGAACATAATAATATTCAATAGATCGATGTCAAATATAGTAATTAAAAATGTCGCTTACTCATTTTTACGAAAATATAACATATTAACCATGAAAGGGAATCTAAGTAATCTAATGTATTCCAAGAAAATAACAATTTTTTAGCCAAAATAATCATGTGGTCCGGAATAGGCATTCTAGACCAAGAAAAAACATTTTTTTTACTGATTTTGAAACGGCAATCCGGATTCCGGACCAATATTCCGGATTCCGGATTTCGAAAAAAAAAACTCCTGAATTTCAAGAACAAATTCGAATTCTGAAAAACAATTCTGGAATTTTGAGAAAAAAAATCATTTTTTACTTAAGTTTAACAAAAAAATTAAACAACCATAGTAATGTAAACTATATACAATATTAGTGCATAAAAATAAGCATTTTATTGTTTTATTAGTGCATAAAAATAGGCATTTTATTGAAAAACAGTGACATTAAACATTTTGAATTTTGAAATGTACCATTTGGAATAAAAAAAAGATTTCTATGAAAAAAAAACACTCTGGAATATGAACAGTATTCCAAAACGAGGAAATTCCGAAGAAAATAATTATTTTTATAAAACTAAAAAAAATAATCATTTTCTTTGAAAACCTCGTTTATAATTGTTAGAATACTTAATTTCCCTTAAATATAACATATTAACCAGGAGTATCACAAAATAATATAAATATAACTATTTTCGTTACAAAGTTACTTACCCACAAAATTACATGATCGGTTCTTGTGGGTTACATAAAGTAATATAAGTATGTCCTTATTTTTTTCTTTTTGCTATGGGATCGGCCATGATTTTATTTTCTTGCGTGGTTGATCATTTACTTATGTTAAAAAAAAAAATTATTCTTTTTAATTTATTTTAAACTATCACCAATGGGGATTTAATGATGAGTTTAATGGGGAAAAAGGGAGTTCAATACATAAACCCATCATTGTGGGTGAAGTTCAATGAAGTGGGGTTTAATCCCCATTGAACCGTGGTATGCAACTTTTTTTTTAATAAACCATTTCATCAATAAAACTTTGTATTTAAATAATTACACCTTACATATATACACAAGGTATATGTCATTATTTTCTTATTTATAATATTTGTAATTTACTTTATGTTATATTGAATAATTTAAATCATCAAGGTAATTTATATTATAATATTCTAACAAAAAAATATTTAAATCTAAAAATATTTAAACAATAACCTTACAACAATCATTAATTAATAATTACGATTTGTAACTTTTAATTTCTAATTAATGTAATATTATAGTTTTACAATATTATTTATAAAAAGATATAATTAAATGTTGATGTGGAAATTCATTAAACTCTTAAGAGTTTAATGGAGTGTAGAGTTTAATGGATAAAATGATATAGTTAGTGGAATGTTGATGTGGCAATCCATTAAACTCTTAAGAATTCAATGCATTGGAGATGGCCTAAGGGGTCTCAGCATACCCATACCCATACCAACCCTAATCACCCATATTTATTCTCCTTTTTCCCGTCTTCACCATCATCTCTGGCATATCTGTCCGGTCACTAACACTGTTAACCACAAAAATAGTTTCTTGTCACATGTATTTGAATCTAAAAGCAAAAGCGAAACTTAAACCTTAAAATGAAACCTAAAACCCAAAATATGAATATGAAATCAGTTAAAAACTGAATATATGAAAACATAAAAACTTGAAACTTGAAAATGTGAATTTGAAAATCTAAACATGTACACATAGTCCTTACATCACTACCATGAAGATCAAGAAAGTGTGAATAAGAAATAAACATAATCATACAATACCAAATCCATCAAAAGAATAAATATGCTTAAACTTCAATCCATTGGTGTTGCTTAAATCGATTTTGGGTTCCTTAGGAGCTTATACATCTCACTTTTTGGGATGCCTGTTGCTTAAATCGATTTTGGAATCCCTTCGTGCTAGATTTTTTGGGGGAAGTGATGAGGTTCAATGAAAATCTTCTTGGGTTAAGTGAGATTTGGTTTTGGCGGACTTTAGTCAAGATGGATAAGAAATTGGGAGTTTGATTGCTTTAAACTTTTTCTTTTCTCCAAAAATGGTGATGACGTTTTCTTAACAATAATAATCTTATATGGTTAACGATTATAAAAGCTACCTATCAGGATTATGGTGGTTTTGGTTGCGGTAACAATAGACTGACAAGTTCGGCTCCTTGGATGAGAATCCTAGCATTTGTGTCGAAGCTGGAGGAAAAGCAAGTTTTTTTGGATAAAGTGGTCAGAAAAAAGATTAGTAATGGTACTTCTAGTAAATTCTAAACTGATTTCTGGATTAGAGATTATAAATTGGTGGATGTTTTCCCGCATCTGTATCAGTTAGAGACCGATAAAGATTGTCTGATTTCAAATCGGAAATTAGGTGTTGACTAGGTTTAGCAGTGGCGTCCAAATATAAAAGGATGTGAAGAGGAATCATAACTTATTGGTTTGATTATGATGCTTAATGATGTTGTTCTTTCTGATCAGATTGATAGGTGGATTTGAACTTAGGCTTGTCAAGTGAGTTTTTTGTCTCGGTTTTAAGGAGATGGATTGATAAATGCATTCTTCCTTCCTTTGATACGCACACTAGATGGAATAGATTCTTTGCTCGTAAAGTAAATATTCTGGTATTGAGAATTAGAATGGATAGACTTCCTTTTCTTATAAATTTTGATCTCAGGGGAGTGGATGTTCCTTCTCCTCTTTATTTGGAAGTTGAGCAGCTTAGTCATCTTTTTTTCATATGTGACGTGACAGCTAGAACATGAGATGGAGTTTTTAGATGGCTTGACATTCAAGTTGTCCAATTTTCTTTAATTATGCACTTATTTGATTATGTTGATGCCTTGCATTTTCGTCCTATAAAAAAGATTGATATTGACGCGGTGGTGGGTACTATTATGTGGTATATTTTAGCGGTCTAGAAATGACAATGTTGTTGCTAGTGGGAGTTGAAAAGAGAGGATATTTTAGATTCTATTTGTGAGTTTCCTTTCTTATGGTTTAGCAATAGAAACAAGAATTGCTCTTTTAATTGGACTTGTTGGTTGCAATATTCTTTTAAATTCTTTGTAACTGTTTGTTTTTTCTAGCTTCTTG